TTTAAATCTTTACATGTTTTGTTATCACATGCAAGAGGATTTTATTGGCAACAACCTTTTAAGGGAATAATTATTCCAGCTACGTGTAATCAAATGCACCATCATTACTTGGTCATTTCACTTGACCCATATATTTAGTTCTTTTCAAAGGATTAATTCTTAAAATTACTTAGTCAAAATTAGGTCTGAAAAAATAAAAATTATGAATTCTGAAGCGAGATGATATTCTCATTATTGATTTTTAAGTTGTAACGTTAGACCAGGAGTTTCAAACACACCTGAAATTGAAAGGTGTTTTCGACTTGCTTCTTATTTTAGCATATTTTTGTAAAATACTTTTGTCAGAAGCAGATATTCAGATCATTGATGCATTTATCAGAAATTACTTTGTCATCTTTCGGTAGAATTTATAAAAGGAAATTTATGAGAATACATCTTCAAAAAAAAAAATCATTACACTTTATCAAATCAGTTGTTATTTTGCTTCTATTCTTTAATCATATAAAATACATTATATAATGCATGGGTACTATGAAAAGTCTTTATGAGCAAATAAAGTCATTGCTCACAGATTGTTTAAATGAAATGCTTGACGTTGAAACAAATACTTCTGAAAAACGGACATGTATGGAATATTTCATAGCAGTTTTGTTAAGTAGGTTCTATGAGTTTTATGCCCAAATCATGCTTGCGGGTGGATAATATATTTTCTGGTCTGTGCATCCGTCCGTTCGTCCGTCCCGTGCCAAATTCAACTTATATTTAAAATCATTTAATAAATTAGGGTTTGACCTGGATTTAATTGTTCAATTTACATGGAAATGTGCTATTATGACAAAAGGGGGGGAACGATGTCTTATGGACACTTATTCTTGTTTCATATGGTTTTAATATACATGTATGTGTGTCTTACATTTTCATAAACACCTCGGTGATCTCATGGTAGGGTGCTCGCCTCGATTGCGGAAGGTCGTGGGTCTGATCATTGGCAGGTTAAGAACAAAGATTTACTGTACGCGTCATTTAGTAGTAAAAGCAAAGACTGTCGGCCCGGAGTAAGAATAATGTGTCCTGGTAGGTTGCCATGTCGATCGGCTTCCTAGGGGCAGTTACTTTGTGACAAGGGTGACCTAGCACGTTAAAGATCCGTCTCAGCATGTCGGTGTAGTACAAAGCAGGGTTCATATTCATATCATAGTAACATGTTCTCATCCTGGATTCGCAGTTAACTTGCCACTGGAGGTTGCACAGCCATTCATCCATGTATAATCAGTATTCATTATCTACCCAAAACAAATTATCAAGTATATATGTATACTATATATTCAAACTAAATATGAATTAGTGTTCTGCATCTTGTCGATACTTAGGGGGGGCATATAAACAGTAAAAAAAAATAAACAAAATAGCGTGCCGTTTTAACTGTATTGCGCAAAGAAATCTTATTATCTTATTTTTTTATTTTTTTTACATATGGCAAATGCAATTCACAAATTCAGTTACCACCTTTAAATTATTTAATAATAAAATGGATAAAAATACAATAAGTGAACATATTTCAAGTGATTTAAAAGATTTTGGCAGGAAATGTCGTTTGTATTTGGACTAGTATAGTATTTTAAACTGTCATCCCCGTTAAACGAAATGACAAAGTACAATTCTTACTCGAGCACACCTTCTAAAATACAATGATCTATTTATGAAATTTGTTTATCTATAAATTTTATCATAAATGCAAAATACTTTTTTTTTCGTACATTTTAAAGAAACGTGTATTCGTTCTCGCAGTAATGTTGTCTTGTTGCGTACTTACACACTAGTTTTACTCGGATGATATGGATGTCTCATAAAGTGTTTTAAGGTCCCGATTCTCAATAAAGAATTTGGTGACATATATGAGTTTTGAATTTACTAATAACCTGTTTAAAAAAAAGTTAAATCACAAAAATACTGAACTCCGAGGAAAATTCAATCGGAAAGTCCCTAATCACATGGCAAAATCAAATGACAAAACACATCAAACGAATGGACAACAACTGTCATATTCCTGACTTGGTACAGGCATTTTCAAATGTAGAAAATGGTGGATTGAACCTGGTTTTATAGCGCTAAACCTCTCACTTGTACGACAGTCTTATCAAATTCCGTTATATTTACAATTTAGAGTTTACTATACAGCGTGTTCTTTCGGGTCATCCTTCGAGGTCGTATAGCTACCTACGGATGCCTTTTCATTTGTTCTTACAAAACTCTGGCTTTGGCTTTTGATTTAAGAACGTGTTTAAAAAGGAATATTAGTAATTATTTAGTTTCGTTTGTTTTTTAAATGAAAAATTCGGCTAGTTTGAAGGCGAACTATAATCATTTAAAAAAATCGGGTTTTATGTTATGGTTAAGCTGAACACATTCTTTCTTTTATAAGAATGCTTTTACGTTTCATTATCATGGAACTTTCATCTGCACAGTATATTGAAAACAAATTGTCATAATCAAGACCATGAAATATAACTCGAATCAATCGCTATGGTATTTATGGGATACGTGTATATACGTGATCTTATGAAAATGCAAATTTTAGGCGGGAATCTTGAGAATCACGTGATGATTAAAAAATACATGATTTCTATCCTTTTTCATCACTTAAAATCAAGTAATGTTGACAAAAGTCTAGTGTGTTGTTTTTATACTCTTTGAATGTTTAATGTAAACTTGAGCGACGTATTTAAGCAAATTCTTAGGTTGACAATAACCGGTCCCATTAGGTCCGTACGTCGAGTTACGTACGTATGTCATTTTATTGGAATTTTCTACTATTCGTGACCAACGCATATACCATCTGTGCTTTGACGTCCATGGTCAGATTTGGAAATTTAACATTCAAAAGGTAAAAATACCAAACTCTAAAAAAAATTCAAAACGGAAAGTCCCTTAACAAATGGCAAGATCAAAAGCTCAAACACATCAAACGAATGGAAAACAACTGTCATATTCCTGACTTGGTACAGGCATTTCCTATGTAGAAATGGTGGATTAAACCAGGTTTTATAGCTAGCTAAACCTCTCACTTGTATGACAGTCGCGTAAATTTCCATTATATTGACAACAATGTGTGAGGAAAACAAACAGACATAATAGGTAAAAATATTAAAAATAAGGGTACAGCAGTCAACATTGTGTTATGATCTTAATCACTAAAAAAACAAACAATTATGTCATCAAAGAAAAAGAAAATGGCACGTAGACACTCTATAGACAAAGCACATAAGCAAAAATGAAAGACAAAAATACAAAAAAATACAATAGCACAATAACACAATGGAAGGGTGTACAAATACCGAGCCACCCCAAAAGGATAAATGACAATTAATTCTTTTCTTTTAAATCATTTTTTATCATAGCCTTTAAATGACTTAATCTTTATAATACAAAATGTTGAACGCCTTTTATTTCAGTTCATATTTAAGGTTTATCAAAAAGTATTGACAAAGCAGCAACTAAATTTTCATTGCTTACCGATAAACATATGCACCTAGAAAAATTATAAGGCATTGCTGGACCTAGATTCTCAGAAAACGTTTTTGAATTTTATTTTTATTTTTTTACCTTTTCTAAACTGAGTTGAGATAGATGTTTTAGAAGGTCCCCTCATGTAGTAACTGTGATAATTGACCTGGACAAGAACAATCCAGGGATATATATGCATAACAACCATTGATATAAACTTTGTAACTGAGTGAACCGTATCAAGTCAAATTCAGTTCTATGTAATATGTTATCATCTTCTGCAGGCTGGAAAAAGTTAATCTTAGATCCAAAAACAGTTTTTTCATCTCCTCAAACACACCATGAATATAACTTTTATATATCTAGGTCAAGCCATGCCATGATATGACAACTTCCGAACATTCAAGAATGAACAGCTATACACTATCTCTTGTAATTAATCATGAAGAACAAGATTATCATTTTCTGACATAAACAAAGTGACAAATCCTTAATCAAATTTGTTAGTACTTAAATACCTATAGGGTATCCGTGTGATTTCAATTTGGTAAGGCAGCTTACCGATTGTAACGTGAAACAGTATTTATAAAATCATTTGCTGTTTAATTGTAAGTTTTGTATAAATTTGCTTTGAAATCACCCTTTTGTTAAACTGACAATTAAGTTCTGTCATGATTAAAATATGTTTTCTTTAGAAATGAAAATATACTTTGAGAGGGGATAATCCAACCTTCCAACTTCCAATTAAAATTTAACGATCTGAGTTATATCAATTACTTTGAATAGCATCTTACTTTTTTCGACAATTTATATTTCCCTAAAAACGAATGATATGATTTCCGAGCATAACATGACTTTCTACAATAATTGTTTCACCTATGCTCGTGACCAAAACTTACGAAACCTCAAGAATAAAACCTCTGGTAGCTTAAAATACCTATATGGAACAGCAGAAACCGTTTACGGTCAACTTTGCCTAAAGGGGGTTGCAACTTATTTTAAGCACAAATGTAAACTTCTAAACATAACAAATAAATTTATAGTAGAAGGTTTATGTGATTCTCACTACTCTGTTGAACCGCACTGGTGTTTTATAAAAGAAGTAAAGAAATTGTGAAAGCGATTTGAAATTTTGCGGCAATTCCTGTTTGAACAGTTGCACTTGGAATAAACCATGTGTTCTGTTGGTGAACAGCTACTGTTATGTTTAACATTATGTTAATGTTTTAATGTCTCCTTGTGCAATTCTCATTAATTGAAAAAATGTGTATATGTTTATCGCTTATTCATTTATTACGTTAGCCAGTCACATACATACTTTTATGTATAAGTATGAGTATAAAGGTAGTAGATTTGAATTTTCCACATATTTCTCGTAAATTAGGTAAAATGAAAGAGGTGGGTTGTTCAGTTGGTTTAAATGTCTCTGCCATTTAACATTTAGATGAAAATCTATCTTGCCTGATTACTATTATATTCGAATTTTCCTTCGTTAGTCTGAAGAAAAGTCAGAAGACACTAGAATGGAAGAATCTGAAGCAGAGCTTGCAACTGCAAAGAAAACAAAAGAACCAGAAGAACCAGAATTAAAAGGAAAAGGTAAACAGAATGTTGAAGCTACAAATATTGAAGAAGATGTTAATGTACCAGAATTGCAAACAGAAGAAAAATCTCAATGTAATAATGGAAAGTTTCTTACAAATTGTTACACGATATGGATGACCGAAACTGTCAATAACCTGACTTTTTCTTTCTACCTTTTGCCTTTTTTAAAGATCTTCGTTCTTTGAAACAACTGAGCCAATCATAACCTGAATTGCCCGGAATTATCCTTTATTTGTTCATATTTTATTTTGTAATTTATCAACAAAAATGGCCTAAATGACTGAACCTAAGATATAAGGGTAAAATACAAATTATTGTTTAATAGCTCGAAATTTCTAGTAAAAAGAGAAAATATATATTGGCAAAGTCAAGATCAACTGTTAATCGATTAGTTTGCCAGAGTATTAAGAGTTTTTTTTTCATTTACTAGCATTGGGTCGTTGCCCGTAGATGAATTTGGCAATTATATTCATGTCCCTTTAATTTTCGATCATATAGATCCGAACGTTTCTATGTATTTTTACATTCCTTTAAATGTTTATGTTTGAGCGTTCCTGATGACGACTAATCTAGAAAAGCGTTTCGGACGCACAAAATTTATAAAGTGTTATTTTAATTACTAGTAACTAGCACTGTGTTGATCCTCTGCTGATGGATTGTTATTCCCTGAGGGTATCATCAGCTCATTAGTAAGTGATTCAGGACTGACATGATTAGTAACATACATTTCTAAAATTCCCCACTGATCAATATAGAAAATACGTAGAAACAAGGGTTAAAACTCCCTCAGGGAAAGTTGAGCTTAGAAGAATTTGGTAATGTTTGTCATGTCCCTTTAGATTATATAAACAAATTATATGAAATTTTCTGAGAATTTATGTGTTTGGAACGAATTGTATCAAAAATAAGGTCGATAAAAGAGAGGCGAAAGATACGAAAGGGACTTTCAAACTCATAAGTCGAAAATAAACTGATAACGCCTGGGCAAAAAAAGAAAAAGACCAAACGACAAACAACAGTATACAAAACACGACACGGAAATATAAAGACTGAGCAAAACGAACACCACCAAAAACAGAGGTTGATCTCAGGTGCTCCGAAAGGGTAAGCAGATCCTGCTCCACATGTGGCACCCGTATAATGATCGTTCGAGACAATCTATTACAGAATTAATTTCGTCCTATCAATATGAGGCAAAGAGGATCATAAACACTGGCATTATATTTTATTTCATTTTTCTATTTTAATGTATTATTTACTGATAAGTTGTTAAAGAGTTAACCTGTTGTTCCTCGACAAAACAAGATGTAAAAATGATATAGTATTCCGTTTGAAATTATGTACATTATTTTTAACAGGTCGACATATTAGTGTACTTTTTAGCAAGTATCTATTGAATGTATTAGTATTTTACTTTACCTTCAACAAGCACAAATTTACAAATAAATCAAAATCTGTTTAACATGTTTAAATTCATACAATAGTCATCTTGCATCCATCTAAAGGTTATTTCATTCCATTTTTGTTAAATGCCAAAAAAACGAAACATTCGTCTCTTCAATAAATATTTTAATCTGAATCATGTCTAGGTTTAATTGTTATCAACTAGGCAGGATTGAATTTGTATTGTCACTCTAATGTATGAATTTTGCTCTAAAGAGTTACGGTTATACTTGGTCTCTCCAGTTCAAACTAATACTTAAACCGTTGTCGTAACGTCTTTTTATTTACACTCAACTCTTGATATCTAGAAAAACTATTTGACTGAATTATTTTTTCCGAACGTTCATTGATATTATTTATAATTTTATAATAGAATTAAATCATCGGCCCGATGTTTCGGTCCACTATACGATCTATAATATATATAAGGACCGGCTGATGTTTAACAAATTTATAAAATAAGCATGGCATTTTTCATTATAACTTAAGTTTTATTAGTTCTGGTTTTTCAAATAATAACTTTTTTGCAATGAACATATAAACTGTGATAATGTCATTATTTTCAAAGTGCTGTCTCTTCTTCGACGTTGTTGTTTTATTCCTCAGTATTCTATGAGTTCAAGTGCAGATTCGTTCTTTACATTAATCCCTAATCTAACAATAAGTGTCGAATACTACACTCTTTTTGTGATTCTCATATTACTAAATATTATTGTTAGAGAGAGGCGAAAGATACCAAAGGGACATTCAAACTCATAAGTCGAAAACAAACTGACAATGTCATGGTAAAAATCGAAAAGACAACGAAAAGACAAACAGTACACAAAAACAACAAAGAAAGCTTAATATCATTGTTAGAATATTGGTCGATATTGTATGTTATTCTCTCACTCTTCATACTTTGATTGAACTGCCATATTAGATAATATTTTTATACATAGTCTTAAACTATCTGTTTCATATAATAAATAATGGAATTTTCAATGGTTTTATTGTAGTCATTGATGATCCTGAACTATGTCAATGTTGCCTTAGGGTGGATGAGGAAGAGACGGCGCACCTATGGTGTAATGACTGCAACGAGGCTGTTTGTCAGAGTTGCGGTAAAGCGCACAGAAGATTTGCCGTTGCTCATGATGTCATACCGATAAGTGATGCTCCCACTTGTAGAAAAAACGTACCAAAAAATTGTCATTTACATGAGAATGAAAAACTTATTCTATTCTGCGTAGGACATGATAAGTTAATTTGCCACGAATGTTTATCAGAAAATCATAGACCTTGCGATAAAATATTAGAGATAGAAAAGGCTGCAGTGGGCGTTAAAGACAGTGCTGCAATTAGTGACCTGAAAGAGAGAATGAGAACAGTTATTCGTATTTTTGAACAGACTCAAATCGAAAATGAACAGACTTTGTCTAATATCAGTACAGAAAAAGAGAGCGCACATGAGAATATAAAAGAATTCCTTCAGTGCTTTCAAAATCACATAAGACAAACTCGAAATAATCTCAACAAAAGGTATGAAAAAATAGTAAAACAAAATGAAAAAAATGGTCAACAGTTAAAGTACTTGAGACAAGGCGTCCAAGAAAATATGGACTGGTTGTGTATGTTAGAACGCAGTTCCTCTGAAAGCAATATATTCTATGCAGTGAAACATCTTGATGCCATACAAGTATCAGATGAGAAGCTAATCGATCAGATTAAAAAGGACATGATAACGTTACCGTTGGATGTTTTACCTTCTGAAGGTACGAAATACATCGATAAACTGTTCGATGTATTTTACGAGAAAACGAAATTTGACACTTTGCCTACCATCACCATTTCGGCCAGTGAATGCAAGCAACCACAAATCAAAATTGAAAGAGATCACCAGCCTCCACCACCTCGGTATCAAGAGCTCGTAGCATTCAATAACTCTGTGTTTGGTGCACTTTGTTTCACTGAAGATGGTCATATTGTTATAGAAGAATCCGTTCCTCCAGCCAGTCAATTTAAACCAACTATCCATTTTATTCGAATTTTTAATTTGCAAACTAATCAGTCGCAACAGATAAAGCTACGAGAAGTAAGTAAGGGGATCGACATGAAAAAAGGTTCTATTTGCATGTACGACGAAACATTCGCCCTTTTGGCGTCAAAAAATGATGTAATAGGGATCATGGTAATCGACTTAGCTCTTCAAAGACATTGCAGGACTATTTGCCTAGAGTATTCCGGTCGTCTTGGTGACATTAAACTCATAAAATGGGTTACGTGTAAAGAGGGGAAAATATTTCTACTTGCAGAGCAGGACTGGGGTTCATGGTTATTTTCTATAGATTTTAACGGTACGATTTTATCACAATTTAAGATGCCAGGTTTAGTAGCTGATATGGACTTCGAGGGTTCCGAAAGGTTTTTTCACACAGACAATCAAGTAAATGACATTCATTGCACTTTAACGGGAACAGGAAAAACATGGATTACTTCGAAGTGCTATTCTAGTCTTGATTTAAGAGTAGGATGTAGCATACTGCATATTTCCGGTGATGAGCTGTTATTACTAGAAAAAGGCTCAAATACAGTGTATAGACTAGACAGAAGTTGTCGACGTCGGTCAATTTTGCTGAAAAATGATATTGAAAATCCGACTCATTTTAACTTGAGCCATAAGTTTAAAAAGATTGCCATAACGATGGATGGCGGAAAATGTATAAGAATATTCCAGTTTTGATAATCCAGAAATTATTTCTTGATTGACCTTTAGAACCAAAACGTTGATAAAATATGATATTTGTAGAAACTTTCTTGTTATTCATCTTTCTTGTTATGTATCAACAGTATACTGTAGTCTTCACACTTACAGATCACTAGCGTTGACATTTTAAACTGAAGATTTCTCATAAATTCAAGCAGTTGTTGTCCAACATAAGATATATATAAATTATGGTAATTGTCATTGTCGATGCACCCTGTCTCGCTCCTTTTGGGGATCAAGCGGTTCCCTCAGTTTTTTTTCTTATCTTGTTTTGTCTTATTAATTAACACTGGGATTTGACCACGATGAATATATCCATGAAGCATTACAACAACCTTTGTAGAAATGTTTTAAATTTCTGGTTTCAAAACTTTTGCCCCAATGATACCTAAGGAATGTTATGCCAGAAATTTGTGACATGGACACGGAAATCGGTATCAAACATGTTTGTTTTGAATAAATGTCTAGTTGAAATGTGCATTTAAAAAAAAATATGTTAAAACATCTAGAGTGGTTTGCTTATTGATTTGCTTACTAGTAGTGTATGGCAGTCCGTTTCTATGTATGTTGGCGTTAGCTTTTGTTGTAGTTCAGTGTTTCTGTTGTTCCGTTGTTTTCCTCTTATAGTTGATGTGTTTCCTTCGGTTTTAGTTTGTTACCCGGATTTGTTTTTTGCTTAATCGAATTATGACTATTGAACAGCGGTATACTACTGTTGCCTTTATTTGTGTTGTACTACGAAGCAGAAATGGAAGAAGATACCAGGCAGACAAGCAAAACCGTCAGTCGATGATAACAATGCAGACAAGGCCATGACCCAAATAAAATAGACAAACAGATAATATAACAGTACACACAACACTACATAAAAAAAAATAATTTAGCTAACCACCAACCAAAGCCCTTGTGAACTAGGGTACACCGGAAAGGTAAACAGTTCTAACTACACCAGTGGCATCAGTATTGCTCATGACAAGAAAGACAATAATCGCATTTGGTGGTGTCATAAAGGAAGAAAAGAGGGTGGGATTGAGCTATGACAAGATGAACATATTCATGGTCAACCAAATATGTAGAACTTCCTTTAAATCCTTGGTTCAACAGCTTCCCCAGTAGCATCAAAGAAAGCCTTGTATGCAGAAATCTTTCT